GGATATATTGAAAAGTTTAGTGCCCTTGTTGCGTTCACGACCAAACGAGGCGAACCATTCGCCGCCACGTCGACAGATACTCGGCGAGACAGCAACAGTCTCTACATTTGTCACAGTCGTAGGGCAGCCAAAGAGGCCAATATCAGCAGGAAAGGGTGGCTTCAAGCGAGGTTTGCCCTGAAAAAGAAAACTTAAATGAGTATCGGACAGTTTATCTGAATGTCGGTAATATCGTGAGTACAGAGATTTGCTATTAGGAAAATTCATTTAATAAATAGAATTTGAAATGCAAAAGATTGTAGTAAACAGCAAAGATGAGTTATAGAGAAAATTACCAAGACGTCATTACAATTGATACTATCACACTTTTCTTTTTATCACTGTAATGCTCCACAGTTTTTACATGCAAAGGGTGACTATGCGATTAGTAGTTGGGAGTAGTTCATCAAGATATCGTCAAAGAGAACACGGGCCCAACTTTTATAAGTCAATATTGATTATATTTTTGTAATTAAACCAAACTCATTTAGCATAAATCACCAAAGCTTCAAAACCATTAAGAACCAAGTCATAACAAAATATTTTTGAGATTCTCGAAACTATCAAGAATTTTTAATAAGAGCTTAGTCACCATAGGTCGCTCAAAGTGATTTAAGGAATGATAGTGGTATGTTCTCACAATGCTATAGGTAAGCACTATGGCAACATGAGACCATGATACAAATGATCAGGTTGAGAAGCACCTAGGATGAACTGATGAGGTGGGGCTGAAGCTGCAGTCCTTTCCGGATGACAAGATTATATGAGATGAATAAAGTCCAAAGGCCTCCATATCGTCATGGGAAAATTTAACAATAAACATATTGAATAGCAAAATCTACTTACCTGTTTTCCCTCAATAGATTCTATCAGAGCCGTCTCCTCACCACAAATATAGGCACCAGCACCACGATGTACGAATAAGTCGAAATCATAGCCAGTCCCACAAGCATTCTTGCCCAAAAGGCCTGCTTTATAAGCCTGCGAAATTTTATAGAAATAGCAAGGATAGTATTAAATATGAGTCACCATGAAAAATGCCAAAAGATTAAAAAGACGGAATATTAATTATAGTGGGAATAGACGGGATTTTTCGAAGCATTTATATCATGAAGTGATTCGTAAAAATAGATATCAAGGATTATACACGAGTAAAATTATCGGGTAAGCTAGGGGAATAAAACCAACCTTAGTTACTATCGAATTCATGGAGTCAAGAAAGATAAGAAGGCATCAGACGCAGAAAATTAAAAAAGAAGTTTGCAAAACAAATCTACGTACTCTTCTCAAATTTTAAAAGCCTATATAAATGAGAGAAAGAGATAAATAGATAACCCCCTGAAAATGCAAATTAAATTATGCACATCATTTTATGCGGCTGTGATTGTAGCGCGCTCATACAAATCGAAGAATGAAGAGGCCCAAAGAGATCATTTGATGCTATCATAAAAATCTAATAATATGACGCATTTGGAAAATACATTTACAAATTCAAATGACCTATCAAACGGATTTCAAAAATTATATCAAACATATTAGCACCTCGTGTATCGCGAGCTGTAAATTTGAAGCCTCGTTGTAAAATTCTCCCCGGATGTAAATATAGCCAGCTCTGGCGCCCATTGCTCGTCCAGCTATAAGGCAGCCTTCGAGTAGGGTGTGAGGATCATGCCGTGTTATTTCGCGATCTTTACAGGTTCCCGGTTCTCCCTCGTCAGCGTTTACAACGAGGTACTTCGGCCTAAAAGAAAACCCATTAATTAAATAAATGCTTTAGCGCTAAATGAGAACTATATATAGGAATTTATATTAGAAATCTCGTTAAATATTTTAAAGGTGTTGTTGGTGATTACAGAGACGTTTATAGTAGTTTAACAGATAAAGCATGTATATAAAATAATTAAGACGCCAAATATGCACCATAACAGCTAAAGTATGAAGTGAAAAGGCAAGTCAGTCAGTATGGCGAAAGAGAAGGCCCAGTAAAGGGAATAAAACTTTTTAAATCATGCAAGCCAACTTACATAGCATGAATTTAGCATGTGTTTGGAGTTTAATGTACAAACAAATTCAAATAGCTTTCACGCACTAAAACGGGGTCTATGCATGAATAAAAGGTGAAGTTGATTTAGTTTCTAAATTATCTAACGACCCTTAATCGCCCACTCAAAGACACATGCAGGAATTAAAAAAAACATAGATTAAGTCATTTTAATGGATGAGCAGATAGCCTTATATAATCAAAATTAAATGGGAAAATGAAAGCAAAACTTGGTTAAATGGACGAGGAAAAATGGCATAGTAACAACAGTTAAAGAGGTCA